GAAATTAATGAGCATTTTATGAAACACTGTGTCATGAAAGCGGATTTAGTTCCTGTAAAGGCTGTCACAAATGATGCTGTTTTTTCCCAATGTCTCCTTATCGGAGTCTCTCAGATATAAGCGAGTGATGAGTGGCTTCCAGGCACAGTGAGGAGAGAAGGTTTCTCAAAAGCCCATGGGCATGATTAGTTGCATTAGTAGCATGGACAGCGGCCATTTAATCTTAAACAAACTCAAGGGCTATTAAGCAAGAGTACGCTGCTCACTATGTTAATGGCACACCCTACATCACCAAAACCTATAGCAGCTTCCATAGGACTGTTGTGGAATAGATCTTTAATGAACTCTTTGCGGTGTTAGTGCGTAAATTCTTTGTGCCATGCTCACTGTTTTCCATTGACCATTAGTTTTTATAGTTCAAGGGAGAATTTTCAGTATCTTCAAAATTATTGACTGAATCATTTCTGTTTCTTAATTGTTTATATTCTTTGAAGTTGTGAATTTGATCATTTTAAAGCAGTGGTTCTGGGGCCCACTGAGGGTTATCAGCAAATTTCCAAGGGGGCCACAGGATGACTTAAAATTATGAAAAAAAAATGGGGATTAAAAATAAAAAGTTAGACAATGCTAAAAATAAAACAATAATAATACTAGGAAGAAGAAGAAACAAATGATGAAAATTGGTAATAATACTTTTTTCCCCCTCAATGCATTTTTTTTTTAATGAAAAGCATACAGAATAAGAATTTTTGATATTTTGAAATCACAAAATGAACTGTGGTAATTAATTTAATTTTATATGTGAGCAAACTCCTGGTTTCTGTAATAAGAATAAATAAATAAATACATAAATAAAAACAAGCAGCATTCTCAAAATTACATCAGAAAAACAAAAGAAAATATCTTATGAGTTATATATATATATATATATATATATATATATATTAAAAATGAGTTGGACAATGTGTTGGTCCTTGAGTTTTAAAAGGTTGAAAACCACTTTAATAGAATAGTTTAAGTGACACAAAATTGGTCTGACTGATTTGCTCATGAACGGATTCTTGAGTTCAACTCGTGGTCTCAGTGAATCAGTCATAGTGGGTAAGGCAGGTTTAGGGCCAAATTCTTTGCACTTACAAGTAAGAAAACGACCAGTGCATCCTTCAGAATGTCTCTTTTTGTGCTCCATGGAAGAAAGAAATGAAGGACAAAAGACATGAGGGTGAATAAATGAAAACAGAATTTCAGTGTTGGCTGAGCCATTTCTTTAAGCATATCTCAGTATTTGTATGTTTATCTAAAAAAAATCCCTTGAAACAAGACCTAATTGATAATTCATGAGTGCAATTAGCAATTAATTTATGCAAGTAGATGATTTGTGGTATAAATATCCTCTAGCATTGCTGCAATGTTTTCTTAAAATTGATGAATGCTGTGACTGATGGTTTGTGGTTCAGTCATTAGAAATCCCTAGCTGATGTTTACGGCACGTGACCGAAACTTGACTGGATACATTGCATCAGATGTTCAGGTCATGATGTCGTTGACAGGTCTGCCTCTCACTGAACAAGACTATGATTTTTTTCATAAAAGTTAACTTAAAATGCTGGCAGATGATTTTATTCAGAAAGGCTTTTAGTTGTTGTGACAGAATTGATCTCCCATCGTAAAGAAGCCCCATTGAATACTTTCAAAGGAAGGAGGGATAGGAATGCAGTGTTGTGTCTGTCCTGACTTCTCCCTAAAGCTGTTTCTTCTTCTCCCTCTCTCTCTCTCTCTCTCTCTCTCTCTCTCTCTCTCTTGCTCTCTGCAGTAGGCATATCACAGGGCTGACTTCCCTCAGCATCCAAACAGATATTGATTTGATCATTAAATCTTCATCACAAAGAGGAGATGCGATACTTTGTGTCTCGGTGCTTTCACTGCAGAGCACTCAGTCAGGCTGTTAAGTGTATGAACCTGAATGATGTCATATTTTAGCAGGACAATAACCCCATCTTATGTTGATGGTGCCAGCCCATGAAATTTACTGCTTTTGGGGAATGTCCTATCTCTGGGCAGAATTCCTCAGCGGCTTGAGTTCTGTGCCAAGAGGGATTCTGGTGATAGTTTTTCAACTTCATCTCCAACTTCTCCTCTATAATCTCAGACATTGCAGCGTAAATGGTCAAAGTTAGCTTTGGGTATATGTCAGTGTGACAATCTTTATCTTCATCTACAACCTGTTACATCTAGTGACCTTGCACTTTTATTGAGCTTGAAACTCATTTTAATGCTGATGTGTTAACTTCCAGAAATTTAAGGAAGAATTTCTGTGAATTCAACAGTATCTACCAGGGTTGTGCACATTACATAATTTTATCTGTCGTTCTATCTATAATTCTATCATTTCATTTGTCTGTCGACAGTCTGTCGTTCTGTCTGTCATTCTGTCGGTCTCTCTGTTTTTCTATCCGTCTTTCTGTTTGTTGTTCTGTTTTACTTTCTGTCATTCTATCCATTGTTCTTTCTATCCGTCTGTTGTTCTGTCTACTGTTCCGTCGATCATTCTGTCTGTCTGTCTTTTTCGAAGCTTTATAAACTTTTTTTTTTTTTTACCGTCAAACAAAGCTTAGCCAATCATTCAAAGTTTTTCCTGGCAAATTGCTTTTGTAGTTCAAAAGCGTAGTTATGTAAATTTCTTTATATTTCAAATTATTTTACATTCTTTACATTCAAGAACAAATTGCAATTTTGCATCCTGTTAATACTGAAAGCATTTACTCTACATTAGTTTATATACATGCATTTTTACCTCCTAAGCTCTACTGCTGCACAGGGAGGGGAACGTCTCTTCTTCCTAAAGCTGCTGATCAGCCATCATTGTAGACCACAAAACCAGTCATAAGGGTCAATTTTTCGAAATTGAGATTTATATATCATCTGAAAGCTGAATAAATAAGCTTTCCATTGATGTATGGTTTGGCCGAGATACAACTATTTAAAAATCAGGAATCTGAGGGTACAAAAAAATAAAAATATTGAGAAAATCACCTTTAAAGTTGTCCAAATGAAGTTCTTAGCAATGCATATTACTAATCAAAAATTAAGTTTTAATATATTTACAGTAGGAAATTTACAAAACATCTTCATGGAACATGATCTTTACTTAATATCCTAATGATTTTTGGTAATAATGTTGACCCATGCAATGTATTTTTGGCTATTGCTACAAATATACCCCAGCGACTTAAGACTGGTTTTGTGGTCCAGGGTCACATTTGTGCAGTGTGTGCGTTGTGTTCATGATGAGCGAGTGATTAACCCTCAGTGTTTGATGCTAGGCCTCAGCTGTGGCCCTCAGCCCTCGCAACGATGGAGGTAGACGCTATAATGACAACCAGTGGCACCATCTGATCGCTACCAGGAAACAGGCCGTGGGAACAATCATTGTTGACAATCAATACAGCGGTAATGACGCACACGCATATGATATTCATAGGCCAGCCCCGCACCCTCACTTCTGTCCTGTTCGGTTATTCAGTGCCTGTAAAGCCCCCCACTTGAACAGATTTCAAGCAAAGGAATTATCAAGGTTAATCGTTGCCATTCTTTGTGTGATTAAAATAATTAGGCCAAAGAAGCCTCTCCTTTCCTGAACTTACATTTCAATTAAGACTGGAGGTGTGAAGTGGAGTCTCCTGTCTCAAAGCGGTCTCAGGGGATTTTTCCCACTAGAGGGAGAATTGCTTTATCTCAGTCATTCTTTTGGAGTAATATGACTTTATCTGCACTGGAGCACCAACTGAAACCATAACCATATAAAGAATATAACAATAAAGTTGTTAAAATACTGATCTGCCCTGCTCTGATTATTAGACCAGCAAGGAACAGTCTCAAAAGAACATATTTTTTCCTCCAACAGGATCAGCATCAGCCACAAGTGGGAACACCATCATCGGTCAGAACACGGGTGTCTTCATAGGAGGGATTCCAGAGAATTTCACCATTCTTAGACAAGACACTGGTAGTTTATCTCTAAATATCTGATTGACAGTGTCAGTGTATCTACAAAGAGTTGCAAGTGCTTGTTATGTGTATACAGGTCAAGCCAAGCTGGTGCAGCAGGGGTTTGCTGGGTGTTTGAGAGATGTGATGGTGCAGAAATCCAGTGGCACTACTTATGCATGGGAGCCTCTGGACTGGGACTCAGCACTTGAAAAACATGAGACCTATGAAAGCTGGGAGGGCTGTCCTGCTGTCTCTGAAGATGGGGCATACTTCCTAGGACATGGTATGTCCTGCTTTAGTCTTCTTTCACATGGTCTGATAATCTGTAATGTTAATGTTGAAATTTTCGGTAACACTTTCTATGAAGCCCGTATTTATAATACATTATAAGGGTATTCTTAAGGCATTATAATGAATGTGTAATGCATTATAAAAAAACTTATAATATGTTATATCAACTCATGAATAATCATAAGAACAATTATAATACATCATAATACTTACGTATTTGTGGTTATAAGTTTAAGAGTATGATTATTTATAACACACAATGAACACCATATTAAATCTAATTAATTTACAGTATAATGGACTGTATCATATCTTGACATTGTTTATTTAAGATCTGCACAGTATCTTAGTACAGCTTGTGAGTGGTTAGATGTTGAGTGTTATTTGAGTGTTTCCTGTGGAGCTAATGTTAATTAATTTATGTGAGCTTAATACTCCAACTGAAAAAAATGCAATGTTTTATATGGTTACATTTTATTTTGATGGTCCCCTTAATCAATCGACTATAAGCAACTTTGCAACTACATGCCAACTAACTCTCATTAGAGTATTAGTATGCTCAAGAATGGTATAATCTAGTATGGTAGAGTAAGTTGACGTACTTGCAAATACACTTATAATCAGTTTATCTGTTGGTTGACCATCAAAATAAAGTGTTAGCATATATTTACAGTAGCAGACATACTAATACTCTAATGACCACTAGTTGATATGTAGTTGCAGAGTTATTTATCAACAGTTGTCTAAAGGGTACCATCAAAATAATCAAACTGATATTACAATAAAAATTTTTCAAAGCAAATGTGTCATACTACACATTCATCTGATCTGATTTTATGGCTGTTTGAGAGAAATTTGTTTTATTATTATTATTATTACTACTTATAAGTGGTCTTTGACCGCTTTAAGTAAAGTAGCATAAGAAAAATGGGAAAACTATGAGAAATATAATCCATTGTAAAAGTGGATGCAACGTGTTCATTGTGTTATAAATCATCATACTCTTAAGAGCTATAACCACAAATAAGTAAATATTATAATATATTAAAACTGTTCTTATGAATATTCATGAGTTGATACAACATATTATAAGGTTTTTTATAATGCATTATGCATTCATTATAATGCCTTACGAATACCTTTATAATGTATTATAAATACAGGCTTCATAGAAAGTGTTACCAAATTTTCTAACTGAGTCTATTTCTTTCATTTTTATATTCAGGGTTTCTGAAGGTCAAGCCTGAAATATTCGCTGGAGGAGATTATTTTGAAATATCATTTGAATTCAAAACTGATCAGCTAAATGCAATGCTGTTGTTCGCTTATGATATAGATGGGAAAGATTTCATTTTGGTAAGTTTGCTTAAATCTAAACATTAAGGCTATCAGTCTACTTAATTATTAATAATTAACCAAACTTCTGCAATTAAACAAAAAAAATCATAATAAATGCATTTAAATTTTATACATTTAGATTTCATGACTTTAAACTAGTCATGGCACTTGACTTGTGCTTAATTCTGCTGTTCAAGTGCCACCTCAGTGTTGCAAGATTTTGCAAGTAATGATATCTGATTTAGTGAAATTAATTCATTTAATTAACAATATATACTTGCAGAAATACATTTGTACAGTGTCCCAAAACATCATTGTAACTGTTGTTTGTGTCCTCATGACATCCAGGCGGAGCTGCAGGGTGGAGTTCTCTTCTGGGTGTTACGTTGGAGTGAACAGACAGCAGAGTTGAGCGTATGGGTGGGCCTGTCCTACTGTGATGGGGGCTGGAACACTTTAAATGTGCTGAAGAGAGGCCCGTTAGCGAGTGCTGGCCTCAATGGCGTATATGAACAGGACAGGAAGGGCATAGGTGGCCCTCTGACCATCAGCTCTCCACTCTATCTAGGGGGAGTCCCACGTGGAGTGAAGCACCCAGCCCTGAACAAACACAGCCTTCTGCACGGTGAGTCACTTGCTGTTTATTTGAGGGTTTATTATCTCGAAAACTTCTATAAATAAATAAAAAATACCCTCTGATATATTTCTCTGACTTGAGTGCAAGCTCTGTTTTTAATTTTGGATTATTCACTATGATTTCTGCAGTAAATTATTTGAGACATTATAGTTACAGAATCATGGTGTTTCAAAATAAATAGAACTGATAAAAATGTTCTCAAAATGTACTCAATCTATCAGGAGTTTACTGACAGTTTTTGTTGCTTCAGATAAATCCGGGCAATTCAGAATGTGACTTAAACATCTTTCTCCCTTTGTCTCTCCTGTCTTTGTCTCTCTTTCATCCTCTTCTGTGCTGCGCTGCAGGTTTTGGCGGCTGCATCAGGGATGTTAGATTCGCGCGTGGGCCTGTCATAAGCTTGGCGGCCGTGTCCAGCAGTGCTGTCAGAGTCAATCTGGATGGATGCCTGTCAGTTGACACAAGCGTTAACTGCAGGGGAAACGACTCCATTCTGGTGTACACGGGCAGAGACAGGAGCGCAGAGGACCTGACACTGCAGCCCTTCACGGGTAAAAGCAGCATCCGACCCCTTTTCGCAAGCAAATCCCCACCAGCACGGTAGCCAAGCCTCATTGACCCGCAGCTATTTTGGTCTCGCGTTGCCTGCTTTGTCTCTGTGTCAGGCGATTGTTTGTCCTGATTTGTACTTTCTGCTTGGGGTTTGTTATTGTAAAGACCAAACAGAAGAACAACAGAAAATGTCCAGCCCAGCAATGGGTGCAGACACGACACCAGGGGCGCGGAGAGGTCATATCTAAAACAGCAACTGCTGTCCCCTTCATCAGCAACACTGCAAAACTGTTGAGAACTGCATCTTAGATAATACACGCAGACAAATATAGCCGAGGTACCTCTCTTGTGAGTGATGGAGATGGAATAAGAAACAGTTTGTGTGTTTCCACAACAGACTTACTGTGAGCAGGTTTACACATCAACATTCAGTGAAATAACTCATGAGCCTGTTATTTTTTTGAGCCTGAATGGTATAGAGAAAGCAAATTTCTTTTTAAATAGTTTTTTCTCTTTGTGTACAGAGTATTTGTACAGAGTGATGGCATCAGGAGAAGGAGGTTGGACAGCCGGGCCATGGCAGCGGGGGCGCAGCGGAGAGACAGGTAGGACAGGTGCCAATAGGCAGTCAAATGTCAGCAGTTAGGCTTTGGATCTCACTGGAAAAATCCTATGGTCTGATGTACGCACTTGCCTTAAAATATATATATACACATAATCAACATTGATAATGAATCCAAATCAGCATATTATAATGATTTCTGAAGGATCATGTGACACTGAAGACGGGAATAATGGCTGCTGAAAATTCAGCTTTGCCATCACAGGGATAAATTGCATTATAAAATCGATTCAAATAGAAAACAGTTATTTTAAATTGTAAAAATAATATTTCACAGTATTACGGTTTTTACTGTATTACAATAATTTGTAATTAAGTAATTTACAATAATATAACATGTAATTAGGTAAATACATAAAGTACAGTTTATGTTCCCAAAAAATAGTGTATTCTGGCTACTATTTGTACTTTACAGTCATTTATACTGAGCACACACACTCTTACTCCCTCACCTGTGACAAAAAAGGCCTATGACTTCAGCACTACAGGCTCCATACTGATATTTGTTTGTGTCATAGTTTTCAGGCCAACCCATTTTATTCTTATCTGCACAATATATGTAGCAGTCAAGGAGATGAGATGTGCTTGAAGATAGCTTATCGCAAAGCTCTCGGTAAGAGCGTGCATCACACACACTGCCTTATTACAGATGAAGATGCTGTCTGGGAGAGAGAGAGAGATGGTGGTGTCCTTATTGAGACAAAGAGGCTCAGATATGTCAAATGATGGTTAAATATTTCATTTAATTGTGCATATTAATTAAGCACAAAAAAACAGTAGACTTTGCAAGCTACATTGGGCTATGAAATATGGCTTCATTTTATGTATTGACACATTTCATTATTATAAATGTGTTTTTTTTAATAACATATTTGACAGTTACTACAATGCACCTTAAAGTCAAAATAAATTGCCATTTGCCACCCATTTAATTTATGTAATTTAATGCAATTTCTGGTTGATTTTGAACAGATTAAAGGAAATATAAAACAGGACATGATTTTGCCCGTCAGGAATAAGTTTAAGTCAGTGATCTAAAATAGTTATAGGTAAATTATAGTTAATTAATTTTGAATAAAGATTAAGAAGACAAGATATTTATTTTCTTTAAAGTAACATACCCATTAAGAAAGTAAATAGGGTAAATTTTGATTTCATTTTAAATTCATTCTGTCAGGCTTCTTTTCCACTCTCTGTATAGTTACACATTTACTTTCTGTCGTTCAATGGTAGTGTTATTGGTTAAAGGCACAATATGTACGATTTTTTTTTATTAAAATATCCAAAAACCACTAGAACAGTGTTATATATTTTGCTGACTTGTGTACTTACATTATCCCAAATGTTTTGAAGAATGTTTATATCCAGAGAAATAAGCAATTTTAACTAGTGACACGGACCGTGTCCATAGTGTCATTGTGTCGCCTGCCAATGACGTCATAACCCCTCGATTTCCGGTTTTGTTTTGTAGAAAACTTGGAAACACCAAAGACGCTTTAATATGTTGTGCGTTTTAATAGACCAGTGACGACCGCACAGAGTAGCATTATAACAGAACTTTCAAATGTATCTAGTATGATAAAACAGCACTGATTTTTTTCCCCACATACGCATGACCGGAAGGAGCGGAAGATACGCGCCCTCTAGCGGCGAAAATTACATATTGTGCCTTTAAGGAAACCTCAGTAATTTGTAATACCAGCCCTGTTGGTACAGATGATGAATCACAAAGACTTCCTACTTAAATGTGTATACACCACATTATAGGTCAGACCAGCGTTTCAGTGGTGAATATATCACACACGTCTGCTGTCTGGCTTGTTTTGACTGTATAAACGAGTGTTAAAGAGATTCTGTAGTCTGTGACACATCATAAATGATGCTTGTTGCATTTCTGCATATGTTTGACTGTTTTATTTATGCCCCCTAAAATGTGAATCCTGGAGCGAAAGCAAGCCGTCGCTTGATGGGCATGAAATATAGCCCAGAATGAACGCTGCATGTACAGTCATATTAAATCAGTGCTGAAAAAGTTACAACTCTAATAAATTGTATTTATGCTAATGGTTAGATATGATTTACTGTGTCTATTAAAAGTGAGGAATGTGTGTGCTGCTTTTCTTTGGCCTGACACACACTTTCTCTCCTTCCCAATTGGTTTCTCACACTCTCATTCCTCTCCTCCCCCTTACTTTGCCTCTCTCGCTCTCTCTTTCTTCTGCTTTGCTTCTCCACGTGTCTCTCTCACCTATTATTTCCTGTACAGTTCCACAAAGTGTGCTGCCTCCCTCCAGAGTTGGGAGTGTAAATGGTTCCAGCGTGGAGGTGAGCTGGGAGGAGCTGGTGGAGGTCAGAGGTGTAATTGAGAAGTACGTACTGAAAGCGTACAGCCAGGACCATCCCTCCTCACCCCCCATCAGCTCCACCTTCCCCCACTCTCAGCACCTGACTGGTAAGGTTCACACCGTCCGCCTGGAGCTTGGCTCCGAAACCTCAGAGACCCCAGGACCATTTTAATAGCTTGAAAAACATACTTAACATGAAGTGATCAGGTTAATTCTTAATGATGTCTTGAATTTGAAGGGAAAATAACATGTTGATTTTGAATTTGCTATTATTTTATAACCTGTGCGAAATGTCTAAAACACCTTTAAAGGAATAGTTCATCCAAAAATGGAAATTGTCGTTCACTTTAGTGGAAAGATGGAAAGAACATACTTGGAAACATACTTAAGAACAAAATGAATGTAATGTGCATTTAGTTGAACTTAAGAGAAAGACTTAAGTATAAATCTTTATATGCAATTTCATAATTACTTCTGTTGTCTTTGAAATATGGTTCAGTTGTTCTGTCAAATGTATTGACAAAAATTTATGGTAAAATGAAATATACTTTATCTACTGGAACTTGTATGTCATGTATTTAAATGTATTTGTAAATACACATTTGTAATGATAAAGTTACAATTTAGTACATTAAAGTTAAAATTATAATCAAGTACTTTATACAGTCACATCAAAATAAGTGCACTTTTTAAAAATTTTAAAACCATTGTCTTAATAATCTTTTGATTTATTTTTCTTTTAATAACATTTTTTAAAGACAATTATGCACACTTCTTTTTAACAAGGGGTGACAGAATGTCCAGGCTGTTTTTATACAAATTAAGTCAATGGTGACCATGACTATAAATCAAGATTCCCATTCAGGAACTCGAGCTGCGTCGAGATTCGCTTTGGGAACGCCCTTGCGTGACCGCGTTCTGAAGCACGTGTCAAATCAGTCCAATGGAGCAGCGAGACGTCACGAGCGAGGTGACGTAAGCACCAGAAAGCATAAAAGCGCATCCGGCAGAGCGCAAACCAGCTTCTGCTCTTCAGTAGCGCTCTGTGTATGTGTCTGTCTATTTACTGTTGTCTGTCCACACAAGCACTCATATATATATAAAACAATGAGAAAGTCTATGGCGAGCGAACGGCAGTACAAACGCTGTGTTCCTCCCTGCCCACGATATCTGACGGCAGGGGATACACACGATTTGTGTGTCGTTTGTTTGGGAGCGGAGCATGCACGGTCAGCTCTCGAGGGGGCTGATTGTCATGACTGCGAGCTGCTCTCGCTGCGCACGCTCCGCTCTCGCCTGGCCGTGTTTGATGAGAGCGGCCAGGCTCGCGATCCCGCGGGCAGCGGTCCCGCTGTTGCTGAGGCACAGCGCACCATGGTTCCCCGAGGGAACGAGACGCTGCGTCTCTTTGCCATACTCCCTGCATCCCTGCAGGCATTACTTCATCGAAGCTGGTTTGCGCTCTGCCGGATGCGCTTTTATGCTTTCTGGTGCTTACGTCACCTCGCTCGTGACGTCTCGCTGCTCCATTGGACTGATTTGACACGTGCTTCAGAACGCGTTCACGCAAGGGCGTTCCCAAAGCGAATCTCGACGCAGCGTCTCGTTCCCTCGGGGAACCATGGTTACATACGTAACCTAGAGACGTTTTCAGTGAATAGGTAAAAAAGTTTTTAATTTTAGTTTGCTCACAGTGAGGAACATCATGTGGCTTCAGAAGACTCAGAATAAAGTGCACAAGTTTTATGGACTTCTATGGAACTTTTTTGTTCTTTTTGGAGCATGACAGTCCCTGGTCTCCATTCACTTTCATTGTATAGAAGAGAGCAGCCTGCTGAATATCATTTGTTTGTGTTTTTTGGAAGGCATAAAGTCATACAAGTTTGTAACGACAATAGGGTGTGTAAATAATACAATTCTTGTTGTTTTGGTGAACTGTCCCTTTAAAAGCAAACGCATTAATGCTCCAGACAATCTGTAGTCACGGCAGTGTTCCCTATGTGACATTGCAAGTTTATAGACTGAAAATCTGCTTGGTTACTTGAAATTACTTCAAAGAACAAATGAGGATCTTGAAACAACGATTACGTTCTCAGATGACCAATCACCGTGGCTATACTCTGTCTCTGGGCAAAGCGTAACAAGAAGACCTTTTTTTTTGCCTTGTTCTTGGCACGCTTCAACCCATGCAAGCGTAAGCTGCACTAATTTATGATAGCCGTGACACCAAAAGCAGAATTACACAGGCAGATAAAAACTCCGAAAGCAAATGAGTGGGTAACGAGAGGAGAGCAGGTCAAGGCTCTTAATTGAATTAAAAGACGTCTGACAAAAAAAAAAAAGAAAGTTACACTACCTGACCAATTATAGCTCGGCTGGGGTGTTTACCTTCCAACTCTTCCAAGATCTGTCTGCTACATGGATACAGTGGAAGCTAGCCAAAGATTCACTCATACACTCCATTAAAGGATCCTGCCTTTATTTTGGATGACAAATAAAAAAAATAAATCCAGTTTTAAAGTCTACAAATGAATTAAACGCAGCACTTGCTGAGGTCGTCTGTTCTGATTCATAAATTATCACAGAAGGATCTTGAAACAACGATTACGTTCTCAGATGACCAATCACCGTGGCTATACTCTGTCTCTGGGCAAAGCGTAACAAGAAGACCTTTTTTTTTGCCTTGTTCTTGGCACGCTTCAACCCATGCAAGCGTAAGCTGCACTAATTTATGATAGCCGTGACACCAAAAGCAGAATTACACAGGCAGATAAAAACTCCGAAAGCAAATGAGTGGGTAACGAGAGGAGAGCAGGTCAAGGCTCTTAATTGAATTAAAAGACGTCTGACAAAAAAAAAAAAGAAAGTTACACTACCTGACCAATTATAGCTCGGCTGGGGTGTTTACCTTCCAACTCTTCCAAGATCTGTCTGCTACATGGATACAGTGGAAGCTAGCCAAAGATTCACTCATACACTCCATTAAAGGATCCTGCCTTTATTTTGGATGACAAATAAAAAAAATAAATCCAGTTTTAAAGTCTACAAATGAATTAAAAGCAGCACTTGCTGAGGTCATCTGTTCTGATTCATAAATCATTACAGAACTGTTATTTATTCAATATTTATAGTCTGAATGTTTGGTTTCTAAATGTCAATCGAATTTAGATGGTTTCATGCACTCTGTAACTAACATTTCAAAGTGCATAACTAATTGTGATTGACAGAAAACGTGTTTTTTCTCAATGTTAATGTAATGTGGCCCATATTTTCATTTACTTTAGGTAGTTTTTGCTTATGTTTGTTGAGAATGAGGGACTAATTTGACTGACTTCCAAGTGATAGGTGAACACGTGTCAGAATATCATTTGATTGGATGTCTGTGACCTTATCAAAACAGACCAGCAGTCCACCAGCTCAGAACAAACATTAACATCTTCAAAAACAATCACTAAGTGGTTAAAGTCCTGAGCGATGAATTAAAGTCAGAGGCATATCGATCACAACACGGCTGGATAGTGACTTTCATAGCGTGCAAGAAACCCCCTTTAAACAGCATCAGCCACTTTATCCATTAAATAACATCATTAGTGTCCCATATCCGGAATAGCAAAGGCCGTATCACTTTCCATCCGTCTGATTAATAGGAGATATTACTGTTTGATAATAAAGACCTTTTTAAATCCAGACCTATTATCAGAAGTGATGGTTATATTATGCTGTGTTTGAAAAGCCATTGCATTAAGGAAGCGGAGTTGGGGAGGCCCACTTTTTGAAATATGGAAGCGAAAAGAATGACATTTACCTCTTGCTCTCTGAATCGTTCTCTTCCTCTCTTCTTTCACAGGCACTTTAAGTGGCTTGGCTCCTTTTAGCAGCTACAGTATTACCCTAACGGCGTGCACTCAGGCCGGGTGCAGCGAGAGCCCGTTCGCCATCGGCTTCAGCACTCCACAAGAGGGTAAAGTCATTTAAAAGGTCCTGACTCCCACATTTCTTTGATGAATAATAAAAGTGACGAGAGGGGCTCAAATAGTGCCGAGCCATTTGCTTGAAAACTCCAAACTAATTTGATGACAAAGTGCAATGCCAGGCTGTAATTGCTCCGTCTTATTTATTTTTTTATTTCCCTGTCTGGTTCTTATTCCCGTTTTTGGAGAGAGTGGTTTTAGGAACAGGGGTAAGTGCGGGATTGAACTCTTTCCCCTTTAATGACATGCATCTTTAATAGCTGTAATGCAGATTAATGGGCTTTTTAATTGCTGTTACATTGTTCATGCGAGAGCCTTGTCTTAATGTACGGCATCTGAAAGATTAATGGAAGCTTCTTCATTTCACTCAAGCAGA